CCATCGATGACGAAAATTAAATTGAACCGATGTATTTTCATATAAATTACTTATACTTATGTTTCAAAATGTACTAATTATTTTTGTATTTTATGAATATTAAAATAAAAAATACTTAAATCAAACCTTTATATTAAATATGTTCATGGTACAAATTATTATTATATATGTAATTTATTCAACAATTTTAGTAAATCACTGTCCTTTCAAAGCATCGCTTCGGTAAAATACGTCGGACAAAATTAATATATGTCAGTCATTTTTCTAAACTATTTATTTTGAAAGTGGCTTAAGTCACTTTACTGTAATGAAAAGTGGTAATTTCTTAATGTTTATACGAAATTATTTATACCGAGAAAAATATCAGTATCCTGAGATAACAAATACAAGTAAATCTTCTCGAAAGTTAGCATCCATATGTTTAAACGTGTTGAAACGCAAACCCTTAAATATCTCGACTTAAAAACAAAGTGACTTATGCCACTTTCAAAATAAACGGCTCAAATACGAGACGCCATCGTTATCAAAGTTTATTCGATCGACGATTATTACCGTTTCGACGAGAAATCGCGAACGAAGTTGGAAGCGATCGATCGCAACCGTTCGATCGATCGAGCGACTATCGCGATCGAAAGCGACCCGGCGAACTGACGGCGTTCTTCTTTGCAGTCTGGAGAAGCTGGGACCCTATCAAGGCCAGGACATCGAGATAGTCTTGCCGGATCACTTGACCGTGTACGACATAGACTGGCTGGCGGTGTGGTGCGTGGAGTACAGGCACAATTTCGGGCATGTCATGATCCCGAAGGACTTGGACGTTCCTCCAGCACTCGGTCAGACGAAGATCACGGTAACCGAAGCCCGAATAATACTTCTTCGTTCGCGGCAGATCACAATCGCTCTCTCTTTCTCTCTCTTTCTCTTTCTCTCTTTCTTTCTCTCTCTCCTATATCCATCCCACTCTTTCTTACTTTTTTTCTCTATCGCGCGCTCATCCGACTCAAAATGTTTGATTGCAAGCTTAGCGACCTTACAATTGTCCAGGCATCGTCCTGAACCATCGGAAAGTCTAATTAATCTCATATAATTTTACCGGGGATAGCCGCATTGGTGGTACAATCCTGTAAGTAACGCAAAAACATGTGTACACAACACGCACACACACACATACACATATGCCTCTCACTCAAATTTAGCTCTCATTTCGATCGAACATCGCACACTATATATGTTTAATATTTCATAGTGTGTCCGACTGCCTCGTACGAATTGGGTCGAGTCAGAAATAAGTTCGAACGTCGATTGAAACGACAATAAATTATCTGTCCGGTGAACGAACACTCAAGCTTTATGTTTTGTTTATTTTTACGACGATTGTTATTTAATCCCCCTGAATTGTGTTATCGTAATTGAGCGGTTTTATTAATAAGCTCGCACATCTTCGAACTCAAACCCAGCATCTTTTAACACTATGCCGTCCGCAGATCTTAGATACGATTCTTTTGTTTGACGCCGGCATAATAGCTTGGAAATTTTAGATTTAAAAAAAAATGTCGAAGATGGCGGTAATATAAATTCCTAAAATTAAGATAAGTCATCCAAAAATTTTCGTACTTAATACTTAGTTAAATAAGCACAATGCTATAGTTAGTTTGCCGCCTTTTATCACCCAAGAAATATAGTTCAAATGTTATTTCAGTTTTTTAANGAAAGTCTAATTAATCTCATATAATTTTACCGGGGATAGCCGCATTGGTGGTACAATCCTGTAAGTAACGCAAAAACATGTGTACACAACACGCACACACACACATACACATATGCCTCTCACTCAAATTTAGCTCTCATTTCGATCGAACATCGCACACTATATATGTTTAATATTTCATAGTGTGTCCGACTGCCTCGTACGAATTGGGTCGAGTCAGAAATAAGTTCGAACGTCGATTGAAACGACAATAAATTATCTGTCCGGTGAACGAACACTCAAGCTTTATGTTTTGTTTATTTTTACGACGATTGTTATTTAATCCCCCTGAATTGTGTTATCGTAATTGAGCGGTTTTATTAATAAGCTCGCACATCTTCGAACTCAAACCCAGCATCTTTTAACACTATGCCGTCCGCAGATCTTAGATACGATTCTTTTGTTTGACGCCGGCATAATAGCTTGGAAATTTTAGATTTAAAAAAAAATGTCGAAGATGGCGGTAATATAAATTCCTAAAATTAAGATAAGTCATCCAAAAATTTTCGTACTTAATACTTAGTTAAATAAGCACAATGCTATAGTTAGTTTGCCGCCTTTTATCACCCAAGAAATATAGTTCAAATGTTATTTCAGTTTTTTAAAATGGCACCAAAGCGGTACCACCGGCATACAACGGATAGTTTTTGCATGGCACCAGCGTGCTGCCACCGGACGGCACAGTGTTAATAATAGTAGCTTCAGAAATGTGAATAATAGATAATTATGGTAATAATAGGATAATAATAGTAGCTTCGGAGCAATGTACGAACACCAAATAAAATCGATAAATTTATACAAAATATTCGGTCGTTGCGAATGAAATATTACCGAGTGAATATCAAATCGAAGAACCGTCATTTCGCGTGCAACAACTATAGCGTCTCTGCAACTACCGTATAAATTTTAACTCAAGAAGGGTACAACGTTCCTTATTTTTTCATATAACACGGGAAATGCTCGTTCATTGGACAGATCGCTATCTCGAGAACAACGGCTCTTCTGCAGAAGATTCTTGATCGATCGATCGACGAATCGATTCGATCGGAAGATTTGTGACTCGATCGAACGTACGTGTTGCCGTTCGTTCCGTGTTTGAAGAGAGGTTTCGGACTGCGTTTTCAGACGAGCAGCACATTGCCCCCGCTGCCGTCGTCGGACGAGCAGACCGATTGCATCGAGATGCTGGACGGTCGGGTGCAGGTGCAGTGGGTGATCATGGGCGACGACATACAGATTAAGGTGTCGGGACGCATCCGCGAGGACCAGTACATCGCGTTCGGCCTGTCCGGCAGCGATGACAAGCCCGAGATGCTGGGAGGAGACGTGGTCGTGGTCGCTTACGACAACAGGACCGGCAAATTCATCGCCGAGGACTATTACATGTCCGGGTACGCGCAGTGCAACGGCCTGACCGGCGTGTGCCCCGACGAGAGAATAGGGGGCAAGAACGACGCCGTCTACGTGCACGGCGAGAGGAAGAATGGGATCACCAGAGGTGCGAAATCTCTCTCTCTACCTGTTCCTCGATCATTCCCGGAGAAACTCTGATCCTTTGGGGAAGATCCGCCAACGATATACACTTATTGATAAAAGTTAAGAAACGACGTAATCGTTTGATACATTTCGGTATATTCTCTAGCTTCTAAGATACATAGGTTGGAACTAAATATAGCAATAAAAATAGCATGCAGTCCTCAAATCCAAGGGTCAACAAACGTCTTATTAGACTGTTACGAAAGCTACAGACATTGATACATCGCTGTTTTTCATTAAATTATATAACTTTATAATTATAATATATATAATTAATATAATATATATAATATATAATATATAATTATATTATTACATATAATATATATAATTAATATATAAATATATATAAAGTTATATATTTATATTATATAAATATATAACTTATAACTGATTATATAACTTAAGCGATGCGTGTTTCTTAACTTATGTCGCGCAGCTTTTGCCTTGTTTCTTCGATTCAATTTAATTGTGGCTCTCGTACAAGTATGTTTGAGAAAAAACTCATTGATTATTGATGTATAGGATGCTATCTCATTATGCTATTTTTAGTTCCAACCTATGTATTTTAGAAGATAGAGAATATACCGAAATGTATCAAACGATTACGTTGTTTCTGAACTTTTGTCAGTAAGTGTAAGTCTGTCTAGAGTTGTTTGCAACGTATCGGAGACATCTGGTCGGGAATTCGTCATATAACCGCGACACTATAGTAGGATTTCCGATCATTCTCAGAGTTTGGATTTCGATCTTAAATTCATCGAAGAGTCGAACGTCTAGAGCAGGTTTCGCGAGCATTTTTGGATCACCTCTCGTCTCGACGCTTCGACGACCTCGATGCCTCCCACTATATGCATTAAACTCTTCCCAAATTTTTGTTTTTACAAGCTGGAGGACAATTAGGGAGAATTTAGGGCGATCCGAAAATGCTTGCGAAACCCTGCTCTAGACGTTCGAGTCTTCGATGTGTGTGAATTTACGATCGAAATCCAAACTTTGAGGAAGATACGATCGTTCGAGCCTCGCGGCTCGTTTTTATAATCGTTGATAATCGGCAACTATAAAAACTAACCACCAAGGCTCGAATAATCGTATCTCCTCTTCCCAAATTGTCTCCAGTTTTGTCCACAAGCTGAAGGACAATTGGAGAGAATTTACTGTAATAGGTGCGGGAGGGTAATGCGCAACCGGTAAAGGTTCAATTAAATGTATTAAACGACGGACGCTTCGTCTTTGTACAAATTGCTGTATCGCTGTAATCGCCGTAATCGCTGTAACGTAATAATACGTTAAACTCTGTCTCAGGCTTGGACGTTCGTCACTTACACGTATGTATATTACGCGTCCGCTATTTCTCCCTCGCTCTCACTCACGCAGTCGTATTCGCGACTTACCCCTTTAACGACAATTCGAAAGTCCCACGGCCTTCCTAGTTCATTGCTCCTCTGTTCATTGCCTCGACCATACGATCGGCTCGTTCCGGTAATTGATCCTTCCACAATGGTAACAGATGCTTCGTATTAATAGATGCTTCGAATAAAAAAGACTATGTTTTATCCGGTTTTCTTAATTGTCTTACGTTATAAAACAACTCTGGGGAAGTAATAAGCGCGTTAGCGCGGGCCTTGAGCTCGATGCGTGCTGCAAATTCTCCCTAATTGACACTAAGATTGTGGAGAAAAATGGACAATATTATTCGATTATTCGCGAGCCTTGCGGATCGTTTTTATAGTTATGAATTGCCAACAACTATAAAAAGCGAGCAATAAGGCTTGGATAATCGTATCTCTTCTTCCCAAATTGTCCATTTTTGTGGACAATCTGAGCGTCGGTTAGGAAGGCATTACTGTAGCTGGTTTCTGAAGGATCCGATCGTAGAGTAGGAACGGCGCGGGCGGGGAGGGGGGTGCCTTCTGGTAATAGGATCGTGTTAGCAAGTTACAATTCTATCCAGCGAAATTCCCGACGAGAACGGGCCCGTAACCGCAGAGTTCGAACTAAACGTCGTGATTACACTTTTCAGTGACCTACAGGAGACCGTTGCAAACGAACGAGCCGGAGAGGGACAGAATGATCCCGACCTCGGAGACGAGCGTGATCGCGGCGATAGGACGGCTGAACACGAGAGGAGAGGCCAACGCTCACGATAGCTTCGACAAGACGACCGGAGATATTCGTATCGATTTCACGTCGAGGAACGTCCACAAGTGCACGAATTCTCTCTACAACGTGCCGGACATGTCCGATGTTGCACCCTGGCCGCCGATGTCGATCACCAACGAAACTACGTTTACCGCTAGGATAGGGCCTACCGGCGGAAAGAGGGGATACTCGAGGATCACCGGTAACTGATCGTCGAGAGGCCCGCGGACGGTTCAATCCGAGCGGTCCTCCGACTCTCGAGTTACGCGATTTTTAAATGCTAGAATTGATAAACCGTCTTATCGCAGGTCTACCTTCCTGGGGCATCGCCTGGTACATCAACGATCTCCTGATCCCCGAGCTGACCGTCGAGAGGGGAAAAAACTACACCTTCATCGTAGAGGGCGGGAAAGATCCGACCAACATTGCCAGGCGAGTCGAAATTTCAAATTCTGAGGCAACCGATCGATGATCCCCTATTTGCTGCGATGTTCCAGTTCTCGTTACATCGAGGTTGATTGTTCTCGATTCGAATTGCTAATTATGGTCTGCTTTTCTTTTTTTTTCGAGAGAAGCAACCCTAAATATAGTAGAATCTGGATTATCCTCCGACGTCAGAATAATCTGCTGTTCGAATTCTTTTCACAATCTAAAGTTATTCGTATGTATAACGATTCACAGTAGATTCTCCCTAATTGATGCTTAGCTTGAAAACAAAAATGGACTCTTCCCAAATTGTTTATGTTTAATCCGAGCGTCAATTAACCGTTTGACTGCTGAGGATCGCTATCGCGCTCTTCTTATGTCGCTCTTCTTATTATGAAAAAATACCTCAGCAGACGAACGGTTAAGGAGAATTTACTTTATCGTACGAATCAACGAAGATGACATCTTGCTAGTAATATCTGTTATCCAAACATTCGGTCGCTCCGTTTAATTCGGATAATCGAGGTTTTACCGTACACCGTCGCCGTTATCGACGCGTCTATGTCCTCTTTCGAGTGAACAAACGAGCGACGGTTCAGATCTTCCAGATCGCCCGGAAGGGTGCCCTCGAATAGATCAACGTCGTAAGCATCGGGATCGTTCCTTCTTTCGGAAGACAGGTTCTGTTATCGATCAGATTTTCGATCGTCGTTGTTGCAGTTATCACCCTTTCTACATTACGGACAGTAAGGAGGGTGGTTACGACCAGAAGAGCAACACGGAAAAAACGGACCAGAAGGTGTACGCCGGGGTGAAGTTCGACGCCGAAGGCTACCCCTATCCGACCGCGGTTGGACGTTATTGCGAATGGAAGCATAAGACTATCGACATGAGTCTGGAGATGGAGACGTTCGAGAACTTCTTCGAGACTCTGCAGCTGGTGTGCGATAAGGGCGAACCGGCCGAGCTCCACTGGACCGTCGCCGAAGATACCCCGGACGTGGTTTACTACCAGGTACGCGACAATCTCTCGGTTCGCGGTTTGTTTGACCCTTGTCACTCCGAGGCTGTCTGTCGGGCATTCCTCTTTATGTACCGGAGACTGTTTTACAGTGTATTTAAGTTTTAAGAACATCAACCCCAATGCACACCACAGTATCAAAGCCATTTAATCGATAAATCTTGAAGTGGAAAGTGAAAATTTACTGCAGTAACTATTACTTTAAATATTTTGCATTCTAAAAATCTTAGTAACGTTCAGTTCGTTCGAACGTGTTACAGCGAAAACGATTTTCAGAACCTGGTCAAAGCTTAGGGTCGCTCAACGTGTTAACGCTGAACCTACAGTGCACTAAAAGTGAATAACGTTATTTTATAAGAATGATAAGAGTGAATTAGGAAATCTATTCAATTGTTTTCTATAAGATAGTCATTTTAACGTTAACAATCTGAAAATACAAAATGCGAAACCGGTCAAAATTACCGTCCTGGTAGGTTCAGTGTTAAACAACTTCGAGGCAATTATTGCATGTATAATATGATACATAAAAACTCGTAGACAAAAGTATATGCCAAGAGTTGATAATTGGAGCCTAGATAATTGGAGTGACAAGGGTTAAAGGATCTTAGTCGTTATCTTCTGCGAATCGAACGGAAATCGTGCAAATATGTGTATCGACATATTTTCGATTAATTAATGTTTCTTCCACCAGTGCTACTCGCACAGGAACATGGGCTGGAAGATAAATGTAATCGGCGGCGCGTCCACGTCGCTGCCGATAGCATCGATGGTGGTCGTATCGTTGGTTCTCGGTCTCTTGAATCTCCTCAGATGAATTCATTGACGATCCGGATGCGAGACAGAGTCCCGCGAGAGGAGAGGGATGGCGAATTGGGGGAATTGTCGGGACGCGGGGGTGGCGAACAGATAAGAGAAACAAATGCGACCGGGGGATGTTCTCGCCTGACACGCAACAACGGTGATAACAAATTAGCAGGAGACAACTAAGAAGAGAAAGAGACGGATGGAAAGGAGGGAAGAAGATAAGAAGAAAAGAAGAGAAAACACAGAAAAAGGGAGAAAAAAATCGGGAACGCGATTACCAGCTCTGGATTGATCAAACGATACAAGGTTGTAAGAAAGTACTTAGCTCGTAAGGTTTAATCTAACGGTAAGAGAAGATTAGCAGAATATTTTTAAGATCTATCAGATTCAATATTTCGTATTATATGATATACATATGTATATGTATATTTATATATACATATTATATATATATATATACATATATGGATACATACATATAAATCTATACATATATATATGTATGTGTGTGCATACAAGTGCATACGATACAGTAACGATAACAAGTACGCATGTTTCAAGCGCACCGAGTGAAACCAGAATCCGAGAAGTGATTTTTAACGTTTAAGTACATTTTAAGGGACTGACGTGGGGCGCGCGAGAGAGAGAGAGAGAGAGAGAGAGAGAAGAAAAGAACGGGAACGATGGAGGTTGCTGACAATAAACGGAATCAGGAACAGTTCGAAAGTAATTTGACAATAATGTCGTTCAGGGGTTCGCGGGGGGAAGGGTGGGACGGGGGGTGTCGATGTCACGGTCGTCGCGGGGGAGAAACGGTGTCGCGCGCGGCCGAATCGAGCCGCTCGTCGACGGTACGTGATGTACAATGTAAATTTTGCACAAAGCTACAGTCGAATATAACGTAACTTTAAAAATCGAGTAGCCATTAAGGTATACATTTATATAAATGCTGTCGACTTGACAATAATACGTAGGGTAGCGTGAGAACGACGAGAGCGAGGGAATCGTTGAGTGAAACGAGAGAATCATGTACAACGCCGCGGATCTTGCGGCACACGGTACCGATCGTAACCATATCGATAGAAAGTATTCATTGGGGGCGGTTCAAAGTATTCGATCACCCCGCCTAGAGAAATTTAACCACGTTCGAACGAACCATCTCGTGGATCGACGAACGTTTCGGCAGTCGGAACACGATTTGCCTCTGCACAGATCACGATTTTAGAAAACCGCTGGCACTTGGGTCGTACGAATTATGCTCGGTACCGTGCGCGAGCCGAGGGTGACACAGTTGCGAACTATTCCCCTTGTACGTGTAACAATGCTATAATATGTACATACTATAGAGTGGACCTTCCTAAAACGGAATGAAAGTATAAAATGTGCCTTGGGTACAGATAATGAAACTTGTTTAATTACACGAATTAGGAGCCACTCGGACAGGCGATGCCCCTCGAGTACTTAGGAACTGGTCCGTTCGCGTGACAAATTTTAATAACGATCGCGCGATTAGAACGTTCAAGAACGTTGAACGTAGAACCCGCGGGCCAGAGACGGGCACGGCGATGAAACTGTTCGCACCTTTCGTTCGATCGCGTGTATCATTATTTTCAACGACTCGGCCCTCTGTTCGTAGAATCGATCCTGTGCCCTTATCTGCGCTCCGGGACGCGATTCGACGATATCCGGTCAATGAGAAGAAGCAATATTTAAGAAATCGTGTTGAAGTTCGTAGACGAAGGATCGCTGTAATAAGGTCGATTCGAGGCAAACGCGAGGAACGACGGACGTGCAACCAAGAAATCAGAGAAATACATAATCAGTCCAGGAGGAAAGGGGTCCGCGGACCTCTTTGTCGAGGATTATATTCTCGCTAACTTCCGGTACGTCCAGATTCTAAGTGACGGGGTATCCTCAAAATTTTCAGCAGCGAAAAATTCTTCGCAATTCCGATTGCTTATCGCACGAAGACCAGTCTGTATTTAACTACATATGCATACATAACATATACATTACATATAAATGTATAAATATATATATATACATACATACATATGTTAAACATACATGCATAAACATGAGAGGTACGTGTATACATATATATATAGAGAGAGAGAGGAACTTGGAAAATCATGCCATTTGCCGGCTAGCCGTTGTACTCGTCGCTGGAGGACATTTCTATCGCTTTGTTCCTTCGATACGACAAGTTCCTTTCGCGCTACTTATTTTCGCAAAACAGTGAAAAATCGAACCAGCGAACTCGGAGCAATTCGAAGCCAAAAACCTCCACGATTCCAATTAATTTTGAGACTCTTTCGTATCGATCTTCTGGAACGTACACATTTTTCCATAGATCCTTTTACGACCGGCTACACTTTTTAACACGTTGAATGCCACGCCGGTTTTACAGAAATTGTCCGTGGCGCCACGATGAATTCTCTTTTGTGCGATACATATAATGTTGAAATATTATCTGCCATAAATAAGTTACAGTGTATAACCATGTTCGACATGTTAATTGCGACAGGGGTCACTGTTCGAATCGACGATGGTAATAATACAAAATTTTTTTAAATTATTTGATATATTATATTATATTATATATATTATAATATATTAATTGTTTTAAATTATATATATATATATTTCTATCAATTTGGGCGCACTGGTCACCGGTGACCCCCATGGCGTCACCGCCAAGTTAAGTGCGGGTCACCGGTGACCCCCGTGGCATTCGACGTTTATTAAACTCAAAATCGCAAGTCTTCGGACTTTGATGCAAGAATAACTCGAATCCTGCGAGCGACGAGTACACTGTCGCCTAACCGGAACAGCTTCGGCACCACCCGTTAAACAAACCGAGCGACAATAAGCGAGGACGGTTTGCTCGATGTCGGCGTGACATCTGGATCCCGGTCGAAATCGGGGCTGGGATACGCTCGACGGCGATTCTCCAAGGGGATCGAACAACTGTTTTTCCTTGTCCGCGATTTAGGGTACGCGGCCGTTGCGAGGGAACACGGCTCGTCCGGTTTATGTTTTTCCGCTCCTCTGCACCCGGTTCCGGCAAACCCCTCTTCCGCTTCCCTTTGGTCCGGTCCGCGTTCCGTTTCCTTTCGCGAAGCGAGTCGGGGAGTTTCTAGCACGTAAGCGGATTCAAACTCCTACTTCTGTGGACGACAATAATAAAAAAGAGTTACCGACTTGCCGGACTGGACGTTCGGGAGGGCTGCTCGCGCGGGATCGGGCGGACCGGTCGCGGCTGGCTTTCTTTCCGCCAGCCAGTTTTTTCGGGAGAGTTCACTTCTAGGACAATAATCGTGTAAGCGAAATCGTCGACGCTGTTCGGACAATAAATACCGAGTTAATATTATACATATATATATATATTAAATCTATTTGCATGATAGGAAAGAATTCTATATTTTTTCTCGGGCCGGCGGAGCGTAGTTCGGCGAGAGCCCGGGGCTCCGAGGACCGATCGGTCCGTCGCTGGAAACGCGCTTCTCGATCGCGAGGAGCCCGCGGATCGCGCGAGAACGATCGCGGGCGACGCGGCTCGCCGTTGCCCAGTTTTTAGATTAATCGGACAATAACTGTACTCAATTCCTTTAAGTACAAACGAGGCCGGGGCGACGTAGCGCGCGGCCGGCGCGAAGTTTGTCGGATGATACGGATCTCGAGGCTTTCCAAGGCGAACCGAGAGATCTCTCTGTACGGATCAATTATTCGAGGTACAAGTGTACAAAAAGTAAAGGGAGGAGGGCTCGTGTATCCTTGATAAGTTAAATACTAATTGTAATACGAATGTACAGATATACAAACGGAACGGAGCTCGAGGATCGTAGGTAGTAACGTAAAGTTGTATATCTTTCTATCTCTCGTCCTATTTACCCTTCTACCTGTTTCGCTATCTTTCTCTCCGACTGTCTCTCGTTTTTCACTCTAGTAGGATAGCAAGCGATCGGATCGTTCGCTCGGACCACCGCGGAGCAGCCCGGCTACAAGTCCCTCGAGTTGTTAGCAGTTAAGGAGCAAATAATAGCGTAATCGTCGGAAAAGATACTTTGTTTTCGGTGTGCGCGATCGATGGATCCTGGATCCTGGTTCCGAGATCCGGATCTTTGAATCTCTTGAGCTTGTAATCCTCAGCTTCGAATCCTGAGCTTGGAATTCTGAGCTTAGAATTCTGAGCTTGTAATCCTCAGCTTGGAATCCTGAACTTGGAATCCTCAGCTTGGAATTCTCAGCTTGCAATACTGAGCTTGGAATCCTCAGCTTGGAATTCTAAGCTTGGAATTCTGAGCTTGGAATCCTGAGCTTGGAATTCTGAGCTTGGAATCCTCAGCTTGGAATTCTGAGCTTGAAATCCTAGCTTGGAATCCTCAGCATGGAATTCTGAGCTTAGGATCCTCAGCTTGAAATCCTCAGCTTGGAATCCTCAGCTTGAAATCCTCAGCTTGGAAACAAAAATTGACAACTTGGGAAGACGAGGTACAATTATTCGAGTCTCTTTGAATCTCGGATCTTTTCTCGTACACTCGTGTCGCGCTGATTGCCAAAGCAGATCGAGCCGATCGATTGTATTATTCCGCACTTCTTGTTCGCCCTTTAATTTTGTAAATCTTCAACGGATGAACGATTCGATTAAATTCAAGCGTTTGCTATTTCGACGAATCAAAACGTCGTTCGCTTTGAAAATCAGTGCGAAAGCGAGGCGCGGCAATGCGTAAATTTTTGTTTTATAAAGAGACCGGATGATGCGCGATCCATCGATCAAAGAATGACAAGGGAGACGGGATGAGTGCGCGCGAAAGATCGACCGAGGCGCCGATCGACCCGGATCGGTCCACGGATCGTCGGATGAATTTTTCCACTTTGTGTCTCTTGTGGTAGTTAAGGCCCAGATAGCGTTTCATGTAAATTCCTTCGAACGCGCCGATCTCCGGGTCGCGCGTACAGATCCGAGGAAAATCGAATCTAATTCCGTGTCCTCGGCGCTCGAACCTCGGCCCGGCTGTCGAAATTGTCTCGCGAGAACGTTCCTCGTCGAGCCAGTGCCCTCTCCGCGGGCCGAAGCAGTTTCCTAAAATTAGATAGTTATAAAATTGAATCTACGAGTTTCCGTACCCTCGCAGAAATTGGTCAAAGTTATCGGAATCAGTTTAGATCGCTCGAGGTCCCCGCGTGTCTGATTCTCGCAAAAGATTCCGAAGGGTCCGGGCGCCATTTTGTCGGCATCTCGAGGTC